ACGAATGTCGGTGTTCCATAATACTGGAGCAGCTGGTACCATCTTGACTTCCGCTTCTGGCGCTGGCGCTGGCTTGGAGGCTTTTATTACACAGGCCAAGGGTGACGCTGCGCTACTAAATCAACCTGATTCTGCTCAAATGCTCGCTGTGGAAATTGGAAAGAAGGTGTTTAGCTTCTTGCTGAAGCCTGAAGAAGATCTGGTGACATCTTGCTCCTTGTCTGATCTTGGAATGGACTCTCTCGTGGCAATTGAGGTGAAACAGTGGTGGAAGGCGACATTCGGGTTCGATATCAGTGTCCTGGAATTGATGGGAATGGGCTCTCTCGATATACTCGGAGAGCACGCTGCTCATGGCATGCTTAGATTGTTCCATGGTGTACAAGATCAAGCGGATTAAGCGAGGTGTGGTTATATTTCACTTTTGGATGTATTAAAAGGAACAAATCAGGAAATAGAATCGGCGAGATACGATAGCCAGGTCTCGCCACATTCCACTTCTTATTCTCCATTCAAAGTTAAGAATGATGTGGCTTCAAAGTGACAGCGGAGTAATATGAGCTACACTGCACCCACCGTTTCTAATTATTCATTTTCTGCTCAGACTTGATGTGATATCTCGGGCTGAGGAAGTCGGAATATCGTCGCCCAGATTCCCAATGCCACAGCCAGCATGGCGAGCAAGATTGGCTGCAATACCGTAACCCCTTTAGCCTGAGCAATGGCACCAACCATAAATGGGAAAACAGCACCACCACCCATAGAAAGGGCAGCTGCAAAGCCAATAGCGGCAACGTGAAGATTCTTGGGTAGCAATCGTGTCGCCACAACCACAACTCCAGGGAAGATAGTCCCCATAAAGAATCCAACAAAGGCAACCGCAACCGCGGACACGATGAACTCAGGCACGAGCCAGAAGATGAGCTCAAGGGCGATTGCGAGCGAGATGTAGACAACAATGGACAACTTCTCTCCAATTCGTGGCGACACAAACCCTAGCACGAATCGACCGACTGTGATGCCGAGCCAGAAGCCTGTCTCTGCCATTCCGGATTCGAATGGGTTGCCGTGTCGGACTTTCGTCATAAACACAACGATCCATCCACCGATTGCTACCTCAATTCCGCCATAGAGGAAAAGGAAGACGGCGCATATCCAAGTGACCTTATATGTAAGGGCAAGACGTGTTTGGGAGAATGCTCCTCCTCTGCCTGGGATACTGGGGTTCTCTTTTTGATATTTACTACTAGTCTCATCCCAGAAAGCGCTGGCGGAGTAAACCAGCGAGATCACAGCTGCTCCGGTCTATATTTCATCGTTAGTTTGTCGATATCCAGTGGCTGTAGAGAGGATCGAGATACCATCAAATAGTAATAAGAGTACCATTCCCATCCAGCTTTGGTAATTAGGCTCGTAGCAATGAGAGGGCTTATTGTGGCCCCCACGCCGAAGAATCCATGGAAGAAACCGAGCACTTCATGCGAGTTCGCCATGTTTCCGATCCATACGTTCCATGCCGCGTTGTGAAATCCGCTCCCCAATCCAACCAGCACGTACATAATCACCAAGACTGGAAAGGGCGGGTGGACAGATATGACTGCAAAGGCAAGCATATGGCAAATCGGGGCAATGATTGTGATCCCTCGTCTGCCGAAAGTCTGATGAACTGAATTGCTCAGGATGGCGGATATGGCATATCCCACAAAGGGCGAAAGGAACACTAGAGAAATGACCGTGTAGCTCTTTTGATAGTAAATCTCTAGCTGAAAAGTTCAATAAGATGGTCAGCGATCCTATACAGATCAAGTAAAGCTGAGTTGGTGACACAAACATAGGGAATAATTGCTCCATATGCAGCATCATTGGACCCCATCACAAATGCACACAAACACGTGGCAGTCACCTTCCATATGGTTGTTTTTGACTCGTTCCATCTTGGTGCGACGTTCACTGCATGCAAAGGTGGGCTTTCATCGGTCTCTGAAGGCGTAGCTTCGGGCGTATATTGACCAAATTCGCCCGGTGTCGGTGGCCAGGATGGCCGTGAGGTCGATCTCGCACTTCTGGTCATCTCGGATCGTGTCACTCCCAAGGTTGAAGAGTTGAAGATAAGAGTAAGAATTGTGAGATTGAGGGGGAGCGGGGAAAACAAGCAAATGTAACCCTGATATCCCATGTCCTATATGTGTAGCTTTATAGAGCTAGTATCCCTGGGACATGATGCATAGTATCTAGTTTCAGTTCCATTGCTTCTATTTAAAGTCAGTTAAATCTACATTCGCATTGAATCAAAACTAATGATCCTAGTAAGTTGCCCAGCGTTCCGAAGCCAACTTACAGCCCTAGAGGCCAAATGAGGATATGAAAAGCCCTCGAGGGTGCCAAGATAGAACAGAAGTATCTTATAGACCCCTGTCAATCTTCAAATCGTGCACATCATCAAGTAATGTGGGCAATATAGTAAATGCCGGTCACGTGGTGGTATTTAGCAGCGCGTGTTTACCCGATCTCGGAATATCTTCGGAAGCTAATCGGAGTCAGGTGATCTGATAATCCGATACCAAAATAGCACTGAAATAACTAGTTATGCTCAGTAATTAGGTCGGATGACTAATTATGCCAGTGTTCCAAGGTTGACCAAAGGATATATGTAAGCCATCCATGGAACCGGCCATGATCACTAGGGCGGTGATGAGAGCGGTGAGCCAAAAACACCCATTGGTAGTGGCACAATTCGTCGCCCGTAACAGATGGCGGCTGGCGCCTCCGTAAATCCGTAAACCTCCCAAGGTTTCCATCTAGGCCAGATCAGCATCTTCTCGTTGAAATGACTACTTCGCAGATCTCCCCGAAAAAGCATAATCTACGGGAGTTCCTTCAGCCTCTCCGGGTCGAGCTCGAGACCTTGTATGATTTGTCCTGTCGGCTATCATCGTCTTATAAAAAGTTGGCCGCGGAATCTTCAGAACACTTTATTCCAACGGCTCTGACTTGTCTTCCAACGGGTCATGAAAAGGGACGCTATCTTGCTGTCTATTTTGGTCAGTCCTACCTTCGTGTGGCCTTCATCGACCTCTTAGGAGATCAACATGTCGAAGGACATGCACGGGTACGGCGCACGTTAGAGAAGGCATGGCCTATTGCAGAGCATTTACGAAAGGATCATTACATTGATCTCTTCACGTGGATTGGAGACTGTATCGCCGAGGTGGTGGCAGACAGACTCGCCAACCCAAGTGAAGAGCGGGTGGACCAAATAACGACAGGCATTTCTTTTTGTCTTCCTATAAAGTACAGTTATCTCCCAGACTCGGCCGTGTGCTTCTGTGGCTAATCCAATGTAGACAAGATTCCCTCGATGAAGCTATCTTGATGCCGACAGGGAAAGGCTTTTCTTTAAACTCAGACCTCAATCTCCGCCAAGCCTTGCTGAGTGGATATGACCGCCATACATATTCAACTCACGGGGATGAAATGAACATGCCTGCTAAACGCCGCAGGCTGTTTTCTCTTCCGAAATTGAAAGTCGCAGTCATGATCAATGATACGACAGCGACTCTTGCTTCATTAGCGTACTCCATCCCTTCCTTACCCAACACCCGTGTTGTTATGGGTCTGATCGTGGGCGCGGGATGCAACACGACCGTTCCTATGAAACTTGCCGACTTGCATAAATCCAAAACTAAAAGCATTCTTGAAAAGCACCCTGACGCAGAGGAAACGCTCATCTCGACTGAATGGACTCTCTCCACCGCGGCGGGTCCTTTCGACGAGCTGGGTATTCGAACAACATGGGACCTCCAGCTGGATAGGAATTGCCAAAGGCCCGGTTTTCAGCCAATGGAATATATGATCGGCGGTAGATACACTGGCGAGCTCGTCCGCATCGTCTGTTATGATTGGTTCCATGGAGTCTTGGGAATACAACGCTCCGAGTTACCACTGAAGTTGGTTGAGGAATATTCTCTTTCAACAGACTACCTCTCTCTTGTTGTTGCCTCTTCTCTATCCGATGAGCGCTTAGCAAGCGAGCTGTCCAAGACACTCCAGCCATCTCCCGAGAGTGATTGGACCTGGTCGCCTAAATATGCCCGTGATATTCGGGTCATTGCCTCAACTGTGCAGGATCGAGCTGCTTCTTTGGTGGCATCTGCGGTTGTTGGTCTCCTAGACTGCACTAATGAGGTCCAATTGTGCAACACGGCACCCAAGTGCAACAATGGAGAAAAAGTCAATACGGAAGCTGGAGTTACTGAACAGACGGACTCCGAGTCGGTCTCATCGCCAACGCGAGGTTGGAATAGCGGGCCCGAAGAACTCGCTGTGGCCTTCTCAGGTGGAGTGATTCAGCACTATCCTCACTATAAAGAAACTGTACAGAGATATATTGATCGACTTCTACTGCGAGCTGGTCCTCAAGTAGGAGGGAAAAGTGTCTTCTTGCGGGAGGCCAGTGATGGCGGGCTCATCGGAACTGGTGTCCTTGCAGGAACGGCCTCGGGGGAAATTGGGGAAATCAAGGTTACTCCTAATTAGATATCAACCAATTCCCCTAATTGATAGTCATATAGATGGGTTATAAATATTATCTCGCATTTTCCCCCTCGGAGCTTCACCAGGGAGAAATGCATATCACATGTCGAAAAGCCGTTTCTATATAAATTACTGCCTCGCTATAAGTCTAGGCATCCCCCACAGATGCGAGGACACATCGAGAGAAATTGCGCGAAAGCAATGCCCAAGAAACCATTTGAAAGAAAGTGTAGACTTGATGAATGCTCAACACGGTCGATTCTCAGTTCCAAGAGTACACACTACGTCACATGTTAGGCCTTCAAGAATCACAACCTCTTTCAATTTGTAGCATTTTTGTTCTTCTAAATCATCACATAGCAGATATAGTAGCAACTGCTGTCCCTAGATCATTCTCCAAATCATCAAATGAGCAGATGGAGTAGCAACTGCTGTCCATAATGCTCGCTGTAGTGTAGCCCTTCTGCTTACCATCTCCAGCCCTCTTTGTCGAAAAGCACATCAGTGGCCGTGACAGGAAAGAACTGATCCATTTCCTTGGATTTCAAAACCAGGCTATACCAGATATAGATTCTATCATTCCACTCCTCGCTTGTGTCGATGCGAACCGCGTTACTGAATCCGGAGATGTGCCTGAAGACCATTAGCTCGTTCAACATTAGAAATGATATCATGGGGCATACATCTCTCCGGTGTTCCAATCGTAAATGATCTTGGACGACACAGACATGAGTGGCCGATATCCGCATTTCACAAGCTTCCTGGTTCCTATTAGCTCTAGGTACGTTGTCGTAATCAGAGTGCCCGAAAACATACTTGTAAGCCTCGCAAAACTTGTGCCGAATCTCCTCTCGCTTGGATAGGGGATAACTCCAAAACCCTTTTCTATCAAGGGAGTCTCCGGGGACTTTCTCCCACACCAGATAAGTGATGTAGCCCCCGGGGACGATATCGTCCTCATCTTGCTTCCCCAAGTGATACCCAAGGAGCTTAGGCACAGCATCACAGCCTTGTTCCCGGAGGTCCTTGAGGGCGATCAGCTCGATGTAGTCAGGTGATTCGACGGCCTGGGCAGCACGGATTGTAGGCTTCTGGAACTCAGTCCCAGCGATAGGAATCTGCTTGTAAATTCGCATAAATGCGATCTTTTGGGCATCGGAACCGGCGGGGCGACAAAGAAACTTTCCAGCAACATCTGAAGGGCCCAACCCATCGGCCACGTCTCGCTCGTCCGCGACCTCTGCGTTCTCTTCAAGCTTCTCGACAATTTCCCAGGTGTCGGTGTGAAACAGCGGTTGTGGCGATGAGTTGAGGGTAACCTCGGTGCCTTCAAGGCCGACGAGGTATTCCAAAGATGTGGTCATTATGGGCTGACAGTTGATAAAACTGGAAAGAAAATTACAAGAGTTTAGAAAGTAGGGTAGACAGAGAGTGAAGAAGAGAGGAAGAAAAAGTTTGTGGGTTGTCCTAGTCATCACCTGGTTATTCTCAGGTTACACACAGCAAACAAAGGCAATCAATGTCATGACACAGTCAAACTAGATCCCATATCGACATAACTATTCAGTTAGCTACAATATGCTTGACTTTCATGCCATATCGTGGCCATCACGTTTACACCATAAATATTAGTTCCCAGTGTATCTGATTAGAATAACGCGAGTAGGTCAAGTTGTATGGGTCTTTAACTCTCTAAAATAACATCCGAAAATGACAATTTGGTGGGATACGACCACAATGTCAAGGATTTCTGAATCCAAGAACAGAGGCAGCCGGAAAAAAAGATCACAAAACAAAATTCAAATGATGCGGTTGTGTGTGTATCGAACAAGACATGGTGAATGGAAATCCTAGATAGAGATCCACTGGTTCCTAGGCGTGTAGTTCGGTACACGACCCTGACCAGCTGCTACGCTCGCCAGGAAAAAGAAGCATTGCTTCGTCGAAGGAGGCCCCATCTCCAGTGGGTCCGCGTGTGTCGTCGACTTCACGATGGGTGAATACTCAATTCCCCAGGTATTTCCCACCATAGTCTGTCGCAGGAATATGGTCTGCTGGTAGTTTGTTATCCAGCCGTACATAATGCGAAGGTCTAACATATAGCCTACTGGCTGGGCCAGGAGTTTTCGCATTGCCAGTTCATCACCATCGTAGTTCTGGAAATTGTGTGCTTCCACCCATGGGGTTTTCATTTCGCCGATAGCCTTAAGCTTGTAGGTGGTCGCGGGGTCGGTTGAGATCAATGCAAAGTCAGGCACCAGGTTGTACTGTACCCCTGCTGCCTTGAAATCACCAAACTGCATGGATTTCAACTAGGCGTCTAGGGCCGCTCCAACAATTTGCCCCACCGATTGCTGGAAGCGGCCCTGGACGCCATGTTCGTCGCCCATGGAGATGAGCTCGCGATGCAGGTCTCGAGTCGCAAGATTGTGGTCGACGACCTTTTTCGACCACTGTTCAACGTTTGTGAGACCCCAGACAGAGCCTAGGAAGCTTGTCCACTCCCGTAGAGGGCCAATAAAGGTGGATTTCTTCAAGGCAGATGATGCTGTGTGATCATCTTCGATGAGGAGGGTAGGGAGAGCGTTGTGGACAACGTTCTTGGAAGTCAGTTTCTTCACCATTCTGGTGGATTCCTGATAGAATCCTCGTTAGTATACCAAGACAGCGTAGTGTGTACCGATCCTAGACTCTAGAGTCTGACTCACTTGAAGCAAGAGCCGTAGAAGGCGGAAGGAGAGGATATGATGTAGGAAATCCTAGACCACAGTGGTGCCGGAGAAGTGTGTAGCTACAGTGGTGATGGAGAAGAAAACATCTCCTTTATATGGGAGGCGCGGTTTGGCAGTCATCTCGCAGAAGATGCTTCTCCTGGTTTCCAGAGGAGGAGATCGTTGTACAGCTTCATGCCAGTAGCAAACAATCTGTTGACAAACGAAAGAAGCAAATAGCAAATATGAAACAAGAAAGCAAACAATGTAAGCAAGCATCTGATCCACGATCTATAGAGTCATTAGTATAGTCTACCTAGTTAGTTGTATCATATGGTTAATGACATTACTATTATATGTCTTTTTTGGTATCTTTTTTGGTATCTTTTACATTACTTTTTTAAAGGATCTTGATACTACCATAATATTACCATTACTTGGGTACTATCGACTCGCTTAACTCTCTACGATGTAGACAGGAACGACCCCCAGACCGTAACAAGTAGGGCAGGAGTGTAGCGCCTGGGAAAACCGATGGACGTACAAGGAGACGATCAACCAAAAGTGAACTGTCTAGATAGATGGAAGATTATGATCTAGCTAAACCAGAGGTTGCACGTTTGCAATGTTTATAGAAGTTGCCAGCTATATCAACATTCCCACTTCTTCACTTGCTTCTCTTCTCTGTCTATCTTAGTTATTTTGAATACTTTCTTTATCGAATAGACCTGGCACATCACACCGGAGTAAAAAGATGATTTCATCTGCATAAGAGTAAGATCAATGAAATTGAGATTACATAGTTAGTCGTCTGTAATAGGTGTGCAATAATTTTATGAAGTAGTTTCTCCTTGCCGAGTCTCCGGTCTTCGGTTTCAATATATATCAGCCCCTATTTGGTTAGAATCCGCCAAGAACTGAACGCAAGACTTTTCCTTTTTCTCCATTGCGATATCTCAACGCGAATAATCATGAAATTCTTCGATGTAAGAGGATCTCTTCCCTTTTTTCTAGCAGTCTGATTAACACTAGCACCAGGTCGCCGTCACATTCACTGCAGACCAATTCCAAGGCACCTACCGAGGAAAGCAATATCACGAACCAGATTTTGCAGAAGTCCTGAAAAGAGCCCGAGAACATGGATGTGAAAGGACCATGCTCACCACCATGACTCTAGAGGGCGCAAAACAAAATTTGCAGGCAGTGAGGGAGTTCCCCGCGATGTGCAAAATGACCTTAGGCGTGCATCCGTACCATGCCGCCGAGATCTATGAACAGCCAGAGTCCCAATATCTGAATGAGCTGCGCGAACTAGGTGAAACGCTCCTAGCTGAGAGTCCCTCGCCTTTAGCTGCGTTTGGGGAAATCGGATTGGACTACGAGTACCTGGATCGGGCCGATAAGGAAACGCAGCAACGCGCATTCCGCGACCAATTAGAGCTGGCCGTGCAATTCCAGTTACCGCTGTTCTTGCACGTTCGTGAGTCAGCAGATGACTTTATTTCCATCATCAAGCCTTTTCTGCCAAGACTGTCGCGTGGTGGATTGGTGCATTCTTTTGCAGGGACGAAGGGGGAGATGCTCCAGCTCGTGGAACTGGGTCTTGACATTAGTGTCAACGGTATCTCATTCCGGACAGATGAACAGTTGGAAATGGTCAGAAATATTCCATTGGACAAGTTGCAACTGGAGACTGATGCGCCATGGTGCGAGGTCTTGTCTAATGACCCCAAAATCGCGGGTTATCTGGAAACTGCGAAGCCGTTGCCGGCGAGTCGGAAACATAACAAGTTTGTACTGGGGCAGATGGTCAAGACACGGAATGAAAGTTGTACTATAGAGCGTGTCGGGTTGGTTGTGGCCGGTTTGAAGGGTGTCGCTATGGAAGAAGTGGCTGAGGCCGCTTGGAATAATAGTAGTCGCATGTTTTGGTTGTGAATATATAACGTTGAGCAGGAAAATTAGAACAATGTACAGGACTTGAAGAATCTCTTTTTGATTTAGCTAGTTTAATTGGATCATTAGAAATATCGATACTTGAAGCTCATTCGTAGCATGCTTAACTAGCAGAGTAATGCAGACTAGTAGTAGTTATACTACGTACCTCAAAATGCGCCGTGTAGATCTAGTAGCAACAAGCTTTTTCCCATGTCATGAACTCAAAAGCAATCTTGGTAGATCGACGTAGATGTAAACAAAGCCCTTGTATCAGTGAACTATGACTGGTGCCCTGAATAGACATGCAGGGGGGAACACAGGGGTTTCGATCGCCCCTTAGGGCCCGGGCATGAGGCGGAGCCCCAAACTCGTTCTATTTCACAGGCCACGATCGGCCGAAATGAAGTAGACAGAATGGAGATTTGTCAATCTCGATATTTGATTACTGGACAATTGAATCTATAAATAATTGTGACGCGTCCTTTTTTGTCTTTCCGGGATTAAGATTCTTGAACAGAACTTGGCTCACGGAGATTAATGCAGGTTGGAATGAAGGAAGACATGATGCCTTCTTTTTCACATTCGATCGCTCAGAGCCCACTATGTTGCCCCTCGAGTCGTTGCCACTATACAGCAGGGTTCGTTTGTCTGGCGATCTGAGTATCTGAACAACACGAAGTCGGGAAAAGATCTATATGAATTTCTAATGCGTGTATCGAGATCTTAAATAGACTCATTGATTCTGTTAAACTGTCAATTATCTACTTTTAACCTCCTATGCGATGATAAGCACACATCATGGTGTGGAGGGCCGCGGTTTGTTGACATTCTTGACGTTGCGAGGGCCATCGCTAAACCATCAGCGCATGGGCATCTGCCATTCCTCCACGGAGTTATGTGGAATGTTATTGACGACTGGCCATGTATTTATACTAATTGCTGTCGACCAGCTCGATCTTTATTCACACTTCTCAAGCCTCTACACTCTTAAATTGACCCTGGTGGTTAAGTGTTTATCAAAGTCAATATACAAAGTTTGCAAAGACGTTGTAAGTGAATCGCCGAGGACTGCTTCGTTCTTTCCTCAAAATTCATTCGATGCGGCCATTATCACTTCTGAGACTAACAAGCGACTTAGAAACACATCAATCACAATGAAGGGCACATTGATCCTCTCTGGTCTTCTGGCCACCACTGTCTCGGCTCACATGCAGTTGAACAAGCCATACCCCATCCGCAGTCCCTTAAACAAGGATGCCAAGGGCGAGAAGGATTATTCTTACACCAACCCTCTCTCCACCTCGGGTAGCGATTACCCATGCAAAGGATATGCCAATGATGCCTTTGAGGCGGTGGATACATGGCAACCCGGCTCCACCCAAGAGATGTCGTTGGAAGGCAGTGCCACCCATGACGGCGGCTCATGCCAGCTCTCCCTGACTTATGACAAGGGTAAGACCTTCAAGGTGATTGAGTCGATCGAGGGTGACTGCCCTATTGCTAAGAAGTACCAATTTGATGTCCCCTCGGACGCACCCACCGGTGATGCTCTGTTCGCTTGGACCTGGTTCAACAAGGTCGGCAACCGCGAGATGTACATGAACTGTGCTATGATCACAATTGGTGGTTCCAGCAACCACACCTCTGTCAACTCCGAGGACCGCGTGGCTAAGGAGGCCCCAAAGCAGAAGCTCAATCAGAAGACCAATACCCACACTACGAACGCGAAGAGCAACTTCGATAGTCTCCCTGATATCTTCATTGCCAACGCCAACCAGGCTGGCAAGTGTGTGACCGTCGAGGGCCAGGCCGTTCACTTCCCCAAGCCGGGTCCCAAACTGATCGGCAAGGCCGATGGCCCTGGCTACAAGTGCGCCGACCATGCTCCCTTCCTTGACGACAGCCCTGAGTCCGCGACGAAGCCATCCAATACCAGCACCTCTACCTCCGCCACCTCCACTACTTCCACCACCCCCAAGTCCGAGAAAAAGCCTGCTGTCATCAGCACCTCCTCATTCACCACGAAGGCGATTTCCAAGATCGCCCAGGCCCTCGCCACTCCTTCTGTCGCAGCTGACTCCCGTGTGCAATCTGCCGAGGACTCATCGAACAATGCCGCGGAGGCCTCATCCAACAACCAGTTCGTCGATCATGTCGGTCAATGGTCTTGCCACTCTGGGGAAATTCTTTGCTCCCCCGATGGGTTGACTTTTGCCATCTGCACTAACGGCAAGCCCATCTTCATGGGCTCCGTCGCTGCTGGTACTATTTGCCGCTGGGGCGCTATCACTGCGCGCCAGTAAAGGTGTTAATTCTTTTTTTTCATTTCTCTTTCCGATTGTTTTTTTTTTTTTTGCATACATCCCAGTGGATATTTCGAGTTATACCAGTCCATAGACTGATCAGTCGAGTGAGGTTCACTCGCCACCGTCGGTCTTCACCTTTGACAGTCGATGATTTCATTCAGCCTGGCTTTGGGCACTCTTTATTGTTCGTCTTATCTTTGTTTCACCCATGACCTGTTAAGCGATGACCCAGTTTATGTCGGTATTGTCAAGCAAACTACCTAATGATTCCGTGTGTTAATTCAAAAATTCTATACATCTTCTTTCAAGACATAGTTCTCTCATAGAGCGTCAAACATCAAAGTGATAGGATCAAATAAAGATTTATTCTGTATCTTGTATAATGCCTTCTCACTATGTTGTCACCGTAACTTGCAGATGGATATTCACTTACAATCTCAGCACCAAGTTAGCCGAACCAGTGTAGGGGTAGACCATCTATAGGTCTGCTTATCATGGAGTATCAACAATCATTCCTACACTGAAATGAATTGAAAACAATGGAAAAGGTGGAAAGGTCGAAAGGTAAAGTGGCACCTATAGAGACGTGACCAAGCCTAGCGCCAGGCGGTAGTGGCTTGCGGCTGCCACCGGGTAGCATCGGCTTCCGGGTGCCTATTTAGTTAAGAGAATCCGTTGTTTACTTTTTCCTCTTCTCTATCTCTCTGGCATCTCAGATACTCACCACATGAGTTTCCCCATATGATCAACCTAGGATGACTCTTCCAATTTCTTACAATCCTATCAGCTTTTTACGGCAAGTCTTCTGGTGAAGGCTTGGACCCGTACCCATTTGGATGAAAGAAAGGGTTCATGGTGCGGGTAAATGAAAGAAAGCCCCGGAGAGCGAGCTTCTTGATAGCTCCGGCGAAATGAAGTGGAAACCCAAATACGTACGGCTCACTGACGACGCTGCTATCGTCTCCCTCTGCATACATGACAAGACCTACCCAGCCACCAATCTACCCTGGGACTTTGATTCAAAGGGAGACATCAGGAAGGTCCGATGTCCAACTGTAAGTGCAGTGTCTCTTTTGAATACGAAGTTTTACAATACTAATGATGATACTTTGCATAAGACAGATGATCTCGTGTGATACGGGATAAGTGGCTTGCTGCGCTACATACCGCGAGCTCTTACGGGTCAAGATCTGCGACATGCCGGAATGTTGACAAGAACCAACAATGATCTAGAACGATCATGACCCCGATTTTGGGTCTCGAGATGTTCATCGCGAGAGAGTCTATGTGGAGCTTGGTGGCATTGAGATCACCAATCTTTCACATTTCATACCCTTCGAGTCTCCTCTCATGTTCGGAGGTGCTTTGAACTTCAGTCAAAGCGTTATAGGGCCAACAGCCCTCATATGTTATTTTTGATCAGGTGATCGATAATGTGTCTGCAGGGAGCCTCCTTCAACATTCATTCGTGACTTATTACTTCTCTTCCCAAACTCTCATCCTCAGGATGTTGTCGACCAGCAGAGAAGCAGATTCACTTTCGCTAGCCTTCGGCATCAAATTGCAAACAAAATCCTCGAAGATGAGGGACACTGACTCACAAAAGATCCGAGGTTGCACACAAGGACTGCATCAGACAGACTGGCTGAATGGACATGGTCCATGGTTTTCGCGACAAGTCACCATGTATATCTGGACCGCGATTCGGATTATACGAGGCATTGAAACCTCACATTAGTGGAACCCCAATGTGACACAGGCCGTCGAGTGCCTGTGACAGTCAAGTATGTTGTCACGTTGTCCCCCGGACATGATCAGGTATCAATTGCTATGATTACGGAGGAGGAAGCACTTTCCAGCTAATTTTGTAATGGGTTCAACACAGAGGATTTCTATTTCTGTTTCCGATTTGCTGAGATCCTCGACATCGAAAGGACAGGCCCAGCCGGACAGTCATACCTTCGAAGGTAAGTCTCCTACTAAGATCCTGAGGCAGAGGGAAGATTATGGGGTCTTACTCTACCTACAGGTGTTTACCAAAATTCACCTTGTGCCATGGGGCCTTCTCTGAGCCTTCTCCTGGTGCAAATGAAGAATACTATGGACGGAGCTTATGATAGGCTCTAGGATTGCCATGTTTGTCCTGTTTGATAGGACTACGAATCGGAATATCTCTCTCCCCATTTTAGCAATGTATGCGAAGTGGCCCGCTAAATCGAATGAACCTGGCCCAATGATATTCAACTGCACTTGGATCAAGGAAGGCCCCGGTAAATGAAGCTTTTTCCTAGGTGCATCTCTTGCGGGATCTGTCGATGGGCGTAGATCAAAGACAGGAACATGTCACTCTCTTGAAAACATGTTTTCAAGTCCCTAAATAAGTATTCGCTGTGTTTTCTCTGTCCCGTCAAGCTTTGATTATGGAAACCGCCAAACGAGATAATCCGGAAACGTTTGCTAGAGTGAAGCCTGTCACCAATGTAGAGCTTGATGCCTTGCAAAGAACGTCATCATCAACAACCTACCATTGGTTCCCCGCATGATCGGATCCGGTACGCCGCATGCGGAAAGTGAGGCTGAACGCTATTGTTACATTACGTCCAGGAACACGAAACTCAAATCTAGACCCCCGACGAAGTTACAGGATATCGATAAATATTTATAAAGCAATGTATTCATTAATATTAAACGTGACAAGGTAGTCTCGAAAGACCCAAGTAGCTCGCCAGATATCCTCCAACATATTGTACAATCCAGTCTAATCACAAACATAGCAGTGGTATCTTGGCTTTCAAATAACACAAAAGGGGCATAGAATCATCGGCCAGTGCACGAGCACTGGTCCACTCAGAAAAGATACTGTAACAGCAAGCATCCGACAGCAACCTAGATGTTGCCAGTATACGCCGAGTTACCATAGCCATAGCCACCGGCAGCAGGGGCAGCAGTTGGAGGATTGGCGGTGTTCTTGTTTTTGTTCCAAGAGTTAAACCAGGTCTTCTCGTTGTTTGGCTCGGTACCCATCTCGACGTCATAGGGGGTTGGGTGGCCGGGTAGGGTATCGGCGGCGCCAGTAGCCATGGGGCTATTCTTGTTGCGGCGCCAGAAGGCCTTGCGGCTGCCGTTGGTGTAGCCGTTGGTAGGGGAGGGACCGAAACGCTTCTCGCGCTTGTGGTGGCGGGCGAGAAGGACCTGGAAGAGGATGGAGATCAAGTAGAAGAAGCTGGGGGATAAGTTAGCATGATTCAGATAGCCGTAATCCGGGGTAAACTCACATTCCGATAATCGCCACTGCGAAGACGACCTTTTCCAGTTTGCAGGCCATGCTGAATTTCAGACTCGCCGACACGGTCGAATCGTCGGCATTGCCCGTGCCCATTGGCGTGTCTAGTGTTCCGGTGCATTTATCAACACCCTTGCGGGTCATGATGGCGATGGCGATCATCGCGCCCACGAAGCATATATCCAGGGCAACGCCCAGGAATGCGAAGAAGGCTACACCGCCCAGGCAGCAGGTGAAAATGACGCCGAGCAGACTGTAAGCGGTCGCTGCACCTGATAAGCCTTCAACGGCCTTGATCCATGTCGCAATGTGTTGGTCATTTTTGGCCAAGACAGCCAGAAAATATGAGAAGATGCCGAGAATGACAGCAGCATCAAGGAACTGCAGGACACGCAGTCCGAGATTGAAAAAGCGGAGGATTACCCCGCCAGCTCCCATCTTGTATAGAATATATGATGATTTGGGTATAGAGGTGACAGTAACGACAACAGGGTCCAGGGGAGAATATATGAAAGAAACTCAGGCAGCAGGATTTGGGCGAGTTAATAAGGGTGGACCGAAATAATTGGCGATCAGTGGATGGCGGCACAATAGGGTACAATAGTACGTCGATTCTGGACGACACCGGCAGCTCAATGGCTAACGGTGTCTGCGCCACACTCTAAATGACCCCAGACGGGCCCACTCGGTGATGTCAGTTCCATGGATCGGGGAGTTTAGGGTTCCACCCTGGCTGTCTCCGGTTAGAGAGTTCGCCACCGTACCACGTGAGGAAAAAAAATTAATACAATGTTGTAGTGCTCCAGCCACACTGCCAAGACAATTTCAACTTCTACCATGACCCTTACACTTTATACTTCATACTATCCATAGATTCCACACATATCATTGCTTCCTATTTATAGGTATACCAGCCTTCACATGATCAACTGTTCCTTGAACCTGATCCGAGGTGTTCATCGAAACTTTCAGAATAAAGCTAGCACAGATTGAACAGTATAAACTTATTTCATATCCTTTCATGCATGACAACTTTCATATACAGACCATCTTGTTCGACACCGACTAACCAACTACTAATGTTATGTTGTACTTTCCAGCGCCTTCATATTACATAATTAGCCTATGTTCATTGGCCCTTTCATCCATGGGTGTGGCTGTGCTGCACTGCCATCTACATATATTCCATTGTATGAGCCCGCCACGCTGGGAATGACGTCTGCATCCACCCATCTCACTAGGTTTTCCACGCCACGTTTTGCCGTTTACAAACATTACAAACATACGAGGTACAATGGGAATTTTGATATTGAAACTGGGTCCGCCACATAGAATGGCATATCATCTTGGTGGTCAAGTTTGCCGGGTAATCAGAACGAGATGCAGTATAGCAAGGAGAGAGAGATTGAAAAAAAAAATTAATATATGCCCATATGGTACCTGTGAGCTTGTGATCCAGCAAATCCCCAAGCTAGTGCGTGTCGCCTAAATAAATTTAGGATATGGTGCTGCTAACCGGAGGAAGCATAGTTTTAGTCAGGAGCATATTCATGATCCCGACCTTGTAAAGATTCCGTCATCGACCCGGACGGACAAGATATATCGCACCAATGCTAGGTAGGTCGTAGAGTGGCATGACAGCGGCCCAGACTCTCGGGCCTGTATACCCGTTTCCCAAAGCTGTTCAAATCAAGCAAGCTTCTTGGAGAAACAG